AACGGAAAAAGACCACTGCCCGACTGAGGAATTGAACCCCAGACCTTCCGATTACCGGTCGGACGTACTGCCATTACACTACCGGGCTGTCTTCTTCCGTCTTAGGATCTCTCCAGGATCCTAACAGCGAAAGCGAATTAAAAGCTCGCACGTTTAGGTGTTGTAGTATTCACGGTCCTCTATCTAATGATGTTTTCAAAATTTCATGCAAATATTTCATTTTGATACGTTATGACTCCAAAGTGAACAAAATATGAGTTTAGGACGTACCGGATACAGGTTACTGTATGAGAACGAAACCATTCCCGGAGGTCGAGTTTGTTTTAAATTGAAGAAGAATGCTGCTTCTACTTATGACAAAATTTAAGCTCTTAATGTTGTATGACTGCCGAGATATGAGCAACACAAAGTTGTCAGTATGAGAGATGTCGCAATTTTCAAAAGCAGGTCGAAATTTTAAAATGCTCGTTTCTCAGCAACCAAACAACATTTCTTCAAACGGAAAACGCCATTTTACTCAGAAATGTCTATATTTTCTTTAATGGCTGGTGTTCTGTGACATAGGTTTGAGCAGTGTCTGTCGTCGCTTATACGGGACGGCTCTTATATCACTTTTATATGCACACGTGTTCAGTGAGAAACAAAATGCACCTTTTCACTTTTCATATGACATCACATGTTCCTTTTTCTATTACGTGCATTATAACGAAAAATACATATACCGAGAATTTAAATATATCGAGAAAAAAGGACGATAGAAAAGTAGAACTCGATAGCTCAGTAGAAAGAGCAGAAAGAAAGATATTATTCTTACGGCGTGAGTTCGATTGCTGCTCGAGTCGATATGCTTTTTTTGCTTAGTTTTGTTTATTTCTTTTAGAAAGTTTGCAAAAAAGTTTTCCCTTCCCTACGGACAGTATCTCGAGCCATTTTTTGGTACATATACAATCGACTATCCTATATCCAAAAATGTGGTTTTTTCGTCGACTCTAGTTCTATTTAAAAGTTTCACTTATCGGTGATATGGAGAGGACGTATATGAATGTCAGAATTCATCGTTTACATGGTATCGTATCCGTACACGTATACGACCGTCGTAAATCAGCGTAAATGGTCGTATTTCTTTGCTGAACAGAAAATCGCGCTTATCTGAGTTGGGAAGCATTTTTCTGACATTGAGCCTAGGAAGGAAGATGTAGAGAATACAGTTTTGCACTAGACTGAATACCCTTAGGAAGCCGAATGACGTTTTTACTGCTAAAACAAATCCGAACTGATTAATCTTTACACTACTTAATGAATGTCATACTCCAGAGTTGTTGGGTATTTTTAAGATAAACTAAAATTTCTTTTTTCTAATGAGTCAAATCAACTAGATATGGATACACGTCTGCTCTACATACATAGAACAAGGCTACAAAACAGGATCAAAATAACATCGAGGAATGGTGGATCCGAAGAGCATGTCAGCTTCACAACTTCAGAGAGACTAAAAATACCGCTGATCTCGAAAACTTCAATAGAAGTATTCGCAAAGGATATACAGTAAGATCCACGATTTTTTCCTTGTTTTATTCTAAAATTGAACGACAAATGCACATCTTTTGAATAAAATTTTAAAAGTCCAAAATGGAAAAAACTATCATTTTCATTGAACGTTCTTTTACACTTTCCCGCCGGTTGTTTCTAAGATACACCAAAAATTGTTGCCAAATGACAACATCAGGCTGGAAAGGGTTAAGAACATCCCACTAATTCATCTTGCCAGAGTTTCGGAGGACTTCAGAACATGAGGATCTTTCTCTTTCGAAATTATTTACGTATTTGTTATGGAATTTTTAGTCTTAAGATAAATTTAAAAATATTTGTGACGACGGGAGCAGTGGCTGAGTTCTTTCAGATTCAGAATCCTAGATAGCACACAGCAGAATCAAAACTAACATTAGAATTGAGAATAATAGGCGAATGTTAGAAGTTAGGCCGAACTGTGTATGAAAAAGAAATAGTTTCGAGTTAAGCAGAATTGACTATTTTCATTGAGAATTGACAATAGAACTGAATATAGACCCAGCAGAATTGATTCTTTGTTACGGAACTTTACGGGGAAAAAGAAGATTTCATGGATATGATGGCCAGATGTCCAAATCACATAGAGTCATACTTCTGCACTTCTGACAACAAAAACAATCTTCAAAAGGAGGTGTGAAGCGCAGCATGAGAGTGAATAACAAATAAATCATTTTCAAACCGACGTCCAATGCCGATAATTTAGAAACCATGCGAGCCTAAACCTTTTCGTTTATATTCAATTTTGTCTCATGATTGTTTAATTCTGTAGCTATTGTGTGAGATAAAGCCTGGATTGTGACGGAAGTGAAGTAGAATTCTGAATGTTTAGGCACTGTGACAACCCTCGACGACGGCGAATGGCCGAGCAATCATTTCTTCGTTTTTCTTTAGTAAAAGTTTTCTTTAAAATTCTACGTTTGATTTTCTTTCGTTGGATCTAGATTCATTATGTTCAATATTACCATTGGTTCCCATGCATCTTGTTCCCTTACCGAATCTGACTGGTTTTGTTTTTTGTATCGGTGGCGGATTCGGTATTGAACAAAAATGTGCTGACGGTGCCTACTATGACCCAATCAAGAAGGAATGTAATGATAGCATTACCAACGGTAGGAATAATAAAATAGGAGAGGTTGAATGAAAACTTCTAACAACGCTTTCTATCGTATCATTCTAGTGGCTTCTGTAAATAGTCCGTGCTCGTCATCACCGTGCAATGGTGGAAATTGTGTCAATATTTTTGCTGCCTCAACATATTATTGTGTGTGCCACAATGGACTTTATACTCGTCATTGTGAACATAAGCATTCTTATTGTGAAGATCTGCGGNAAAACCAGTCAGATTCGGTAAGGGAACAAGATGCATGGGAACCAATGGTAATATTGAACATAATGAATCTAGATCCAACGTATTTGCAGTAAGAAAAATTTCTCAACATGATTTAACTCATAAATCTATATATAAAAAATGATTTCTAGGGCTGTCAACCCTTTGATCCTGATAAAGATGCGCTAAAGTACATATGCTTTTGCCGACCTCCAAAGTCATCGAGTAGAACTGTGGAACAATTCTGGTACGGCTCAAGTTGTATGGAAACAATATTCGAAGCTCCATGTGCAACGGCAATTGATGGAGAAAAATTTCCGTTACGTCATACTGATAAAGGATATCTTCGATGTCTGGATAATGGCACTTCTGCTTCATTTGAATCATGCCTGATCGATTATGTTTGGAATGATGAAAAAAAGACTTGTGTATCGAATAAAGGTCAGTAGTGTGCTGAACGATGATGGTATATTCATATTCTCTGACCATAAATCTCGTTTTCCACACCAGCAAGTAGCACGTTACACCCACTCCGGGATTGTCCGAGTGTCCGGTATTATCTGTGACTGCAGGATTACACAGTGAATATGTTTCCAAATTTAATCTCTGATTTTTTTATTGATCCCGCTACTATGTTCCGTCTTAAGCCTCATTCGTACCCATCAGCTAGTGGCTACTAATAAAAAAGTATTTTATCAAGCCTGGTCAAAGGTATACCAGTTTCAAGTTCGCTTTGCATGATTAACTGCTCGGGATAAAGGATTAAGTTAGTTATATAAAATTTTAGTATTAAGAGTCATTGTACGAGTGGGACAGCCGTTTTGCGTACGAATTGCCCAATCAATGTTTGAGTTTTGGGCNAAAAGTTAGTCTAAAAAATAACCTAATACGATACTTGTATAAAAGTCAAATTTGTGATGTTTATATCTTGGTCTAGGAAGTTGATTAAGAGCTCGTATCTGCAGCATAAGTAGTCGAGGTCGAATACTACCTATAACCAAGAGTATGTGCCAAAATAAGTTTTACGTATGTGCGAACATATGCGAACAAGATGGTAGAATTTTGCTGAGACAAACAGTTTTGCAGAATTCCTTTTAACCTAAAAGGCTTGTTATTGCATCGAATGTTACTTTTATCCATTGTATAAGTATACCTCTGCTATGAATTATGACATCGATCCATACAAGTCTCTTGGTTGATGCACGGCTGAGCTCGAGAGTCGATAGAAAATGAGAGGCTATTTTTCATTTGAGGGTGTGTTCGACTTTCGAGCTCTTGTGCGCATATGTTCGCGAATACGTAAAACTTATTTTGGCACATGCTCTTGGTTATAGGTAGTATTCGATCTCGACTATTTATGCTGCAGATACGAGCTCTTAATCAACTTCCTAGACCAAGATATAAACATCACAAATTTGACGTTTATACAAGTATCGTATTAGGTTATTCTTAGAGCTTTTACGAAAAGTTCTATAGCTTTTTAGCGAAGTAAGTCCCAATGAAAAAAATTGGGGAACCTTCCTATATATGTTGCCTCTATCTACGGTAAAATCCTGAGCCAAAAACTCAAACATCGATTGAGCAACTTTCGTCGTTTCACTCGTGCAGTGATTCTTAAGCTTTACCGTAAACGCGCTTATGGTTATTCTGTTGTCACAAGTCTCAGTCTATCGTGCATATACAGTTTTCTAAAACAATTGTTGTTCTTTCTCATGTGATAAATTTAGCAGTGTGACTGTACATCAAAATGACCATCATAACGTAGAAATCTCAAGTTAATCTGAAATATTGTATCTGTTTATTTAGAGCATCAACACAAATGATTATGATATATGAATAGAAAATGAATGTCA